AATAGCAAATACTCCAATGATGCTCCAATATTACCATTGCAGGATCTCAGTACTCTCCTACAACACTCACTGTCAAAACCATACCTGCAACAAAACAGAGACAACATGGCAAAAAGTGAGTGACAGAGACTTGTATGAAGCAAAATAACCACAGATGTGTTTGATTAGGCTTACAGGAAGGAAGCATGTATGGCACGAGATACTATTACTACTATTGGGGGAAAAAAACCCACACCAAAATATTTATGCTATTTTAAATGACAGTGGCAGGCAGTAATTTGGTGTCTGTCAATGCTAGTCTGTTGTTTATAAGGTGACAAATTAGTTTATGTGGCAACTATCTCACACTTCAGAATGTAGCACATAATAGTTACAGGATTAGATTTCCCAGTTGAACTATATAAATTAAACTCTTCAGAAAAAGCTGAGTCCTCTCACATATAAAACACTCTCAAACAAAGCAAAAATAGTTAGTAAATGCTCATATCTGAGCAAAATGGATGAAGAACACTTACAAGGTTTTGAAACATTACCTACCTAGAAGAAACATGCATATAACAGCAATGCTCCCCGAGTTTCCCCAATATCTGTTTCATTGTCTTGGAGAAAGAACTGAAAACTTCACTGAAAAAAGGCTGGAGTGATTTATTTTCATAAAACCATTATTTTAAATTCATCTAGTTGAGGATTAAATTTGTAGGAGATGCAAACTCATCAGTTCTGCCCATAGAACTTCCCTAGAGTCAAGGGGAAGTCCAAGCACTGAGGGCTTACAGTATCGAGACTAGTGATTTACCTCTTCAGGATACATATTATTCACTGAAAAGCATCACCTGGAGAGTTTGTGCACAGCAAATGAAGACACTTCACTTTCCACAATTCTGTGCTCAGCTGGATCAGCAGACGACCTTGGTATTACGTCAGAAACTTCCTGATCTGTTGACCAGCACTGTTCATCATCAAGGTAATCAGGTTCATCATCGTCTTCAACAGAACCAGCTACTCTGATAAAAAGAGTTATCAAATGAAAATGAAACAAAATTATACTGTTGAGTAGACACAAAACTCTGCCTCTGCAGTTTTAAATCCTCCATGTAAATGGAGGATTCTGCTACCGCTTTCCCAGAGTTAATATTGTAGAAGAACAAAGCAGACTCAAAACCACAGGATTTGAGATCAAATTAAAAGTTAAGGGAAAAAAGAATACTGTTTTCATTTCTAACAGTGTGCCTGTTAAAGCATGCTCATCTAGAGGAGCTAGAAGTAGTGCCTCTGTTTAAACTAACTCTGATTCAGGAGCCAGCTCCTGCCCTTGAAGCTCTTGAAGAAGTTCTTTCACTCTTCTCTGATTCTCTGATGTCATGTGTATGGTCTGCAGAGGCATTCTCGCTTCAGGTCTCTGCTTCGTTTGCCCTCCTCTTCTGGCAGGGGCATTTGATCTAAAAATTAAAATAGAACATAACAATGACTTATTTGCCTGGCTCAAATGATCTTGACTGAATTGCGATGTGTTAGGACCTAACCCTGTAATTCAAAACAGGAAAACCAAAACAAGATGAGTCTATCACCTAAGGATTATTCAGTTGCGTTCATTCTTACATGACCAGGATGTGTGTGTCTATATCTGCGTGCACACACACATGCATATATGTATTTTATCCTATGTCAAACCCAAAGTGATTTAAAAAACACTTTGCTAGGTAAAGCTGTTCTCAGACTACAGGACAACCACTTATTTCTAAGCTAGATTGGTCAGAATACATTGGTCAGGATACTAAATTAATTCTAAATTGCTTATTTTCCATGGCCCAGCTTCTGCTTTGTAATACACAACAATGAATATCCTGTGTTTATTAGTGTTTTCTGATCAAAGACATTCTGAAATTACTTTATGATCAAAGAAGAAAATCAGAGGTTCTGCTCTTTAAAAAAAAAAACAACCCAAAACTTTCCTAGCTATAAAATGTTAAAAATGTTAATCAAAAAAGACATGTAAAAACTGCTTCATACTGAAACAACTTCATCACCCCTTCACTCTTCTGTATATTCAAAGATGTCCAAAAACCAGCCCCAAAGTATCCCAAACATCTCTATGCCAACCCCCCCACCCCTAAATTAACAGAAAGACCTGGATTCCAGCCTTGGTTCCTCGAAGAGACAAAAATCATCCCCATCGTCCCAAATTTTGGTTGAACATTTCCTATTTCCACCAAGTTGAGACTTGTTTGAATGGCCACTGCTGCCTCCTCTTCCTCCTCCTCTTCCACTGCCTCCTCTCCCTCTTCCTCCTCCTTTGTTGAGCTTTCCTCTTTTCCTCCCTGCTGAACTCATGTTCTCTTGATGAGGAAGGGAAAAAAAATAGCCCTTAGTTATGAAGATGATTTAGCACATTGCAAATGTCTGGGCACACATTACATTATTTGTTTTTCCATGTGACAAGAGAAGATACCCTCTCAAACCACAGTTAATTATCTGCACATTGGTGTATTTGTGTGCACCTGAAGCAAAGCACATTCTTCTAGAACACTGTTTAACAAGTTCTGCGGTTTTAGAAAATAAATGTAATATTCCTCACAGCTGTTCAACCAAAAACTGCAGGATCTCTGGCAAAAGGATAAGCCTACCAGCAGTGCTGCCTAGCCTAGGACCTCCAGTTCTGCCACTATGATGGAATTTTGTTGGACATGGGAGCCCGAAGGACAAACCTTCAGGGGAACTGTCACAGCAGAAAGCAGCCTGTGCCGTGCCCTGCCACTTTTCAACTCGGGACTTTGCAGGGCTGCGCGTAAAAGGTCGAAGGGGAGCTGAAGCCAAAGATACAGTTTGTTTCCACATTAATCTGCTCCTGACCCATTCCCTTCTGCAAGGAGCTGCCCAGATGGCTGAGCACTCTGTGGAGCCTGGGCAGGGGAGTGATTAGGGACCTGTCTTGGAAAACAGAAGCCCTCCTCTCCTTCTCACAGCAGGATCTTCACCAGCTCTGACACAACAAGCCCCATCAGTATTAAGCAGTTGTTGTCAATGACAGAATGGCCCAGCACCATGCTCCTGCAAATGGAAAGCTATTGCAGGGACAGGTGAGCAGCTGTGGACAGTCTGGCAGGAGCTTATTACCTGGATCTTTGCACTAGCACCTCCAGAGCCAGGACAAGAACTGATGCGGCCATGCACGAGTAACAGCCCAAAGGAGGGCTTGTAGAGCGGCAACAGTTTGGGGCTCGGAAGGAAGCAAAGTTCCCTTTTTGTGGCAGTTCTCCCCACCGGAGCTCCACCAGGACTGGACAGGATTTAACAGACCCCGCTCACAGCAGCCTGGCATAAGTGAGGGAGGCTAAGGGGGTGAGCACGGCAGCCGGACATAGACACTTGCAGCCGTCCCCGAGGACGCTGTCACACGGAGTCTCAGTCTCCTTCCTCTCAACACACAGCACGGAGCCCCCGGTACAGAACAGCTCCGCTCCCCTGGGTCGCTTCCCTGCCGAATCCTCCAGCACCTCCCCGCGCCCCACGCCTCGCACACCTCCTAGGGGTGCCCGATCACCAGCACCCCACACCCGGGGATCCCCAAACCTCCTCTCCTGGCCTTGCCCCTCCCTCACCGCAGGGGACCCCGTCCCCTCCTCCCGCCCATGTTCCCGGGACCCCATCCCCTGCCCACCCACCTCCCCTCAGCCTCCTTCACGGCCCCCCCGCG